AAAAGAAATTGAGTCCAGCATGAAGACAAATTATATATTTAAAAAGCACGGTCAACCCTTTAATAATTACCTAATAAGTTCATAAACTTCAATAATTAATAAGTTTTAAATTTGGTATTGTGGTGGACGATTAATAATTCAATTTGTAAGAGAATAATTTGTGTTGATAGACTGTTAGTGAAGCAAGAAGACAAAAGTTTGATTTTCAAGATAATTTTTACACATTTCTAAACACTTTTACATATTTCTATACACTTTTACCAATTTCAATACACTTTTTACACATCTACCAACATTAATGACAACCCTATGGGCAGTCGTTAGCATTTTCCATTAATTATTTGTATAAAAAAAATGTATACCACTATAAAGATGTATATGAAGATTCTTACTGTGTTTTCCAACAAGACACCTGGCAATTGAACCATTTCTACATCTCAAAGTATATTGAGACTGTATCAATCCTCTAATGTTATTAATATGAGTGTAGCCATCTCACACCACAAAGAATTAGTTTCCTAGATTGAAGTCCATTTTCCTGACTTAACATTTTATTCTTAAAGAGAGCCAAAGTTTTACTTTTAAAATTCTACGATCAAATTCACAGGTGACTAGCAACAAATTGTTAAAGTCCATACAACACATTTTTTTCCTATATAAATCATGGCAAGGATTCCAATTTCTTGGATTGGACATTATCATTTTCACAAGTCTACTGACATCATAATAGAATTAAAATATTTGAGAATATTGTGGAGGTATCCATTTCAAGAGGAACAGCAAAACGCACAAGAGAGAATTGAGGATTTCAACAACTGATTTTAGGTTCATGGGTAGACGGACTATAAGCAAGTGGTTTCAGATTTTTCCAGTGCAACCAGCCAAACTGTTTAAGCTTCAAATGCCATACAACAGTTCGACCCATTTATCCAATGGGCTTGCTACCACCTACCCATGAACAGCCTAAGAAAAAAGTCGTTTTCTTTCCTTTTTTCCCCTTTTCTTTTGGGAGGCGGGGGGGAGCAATTCGTAACCAATCCAAAAAGAAAGAAAAAGAGGCTATGCCTACCTCCAATTAGTAGACTTGAATCCATTGACGACTGCTCAGGAGGAACTGAGCCTGCTAACCATTGTTGGGGAAGTTGATTTTCAAAAGAAGTAGGATAATCGACTGGGCCCATTGGAAGTTCATTTCGAGAAGCGCCTGGCCTCTTACTTTGTTTGAAGCTCAAAAGTGACTTGCCATCATATTCAACAACATGGTTCCAGCTATCATATGCTTTCTTCACCAAGGTATCCACATATAACTGCAGCAACAAAATTTACAGGTTTCCATAAGCATCACATTCTCTAATTATGAGCTTTATGACAACCTTCCAAGGGTGGTACCAGGAGAAAAGGAAAAAAGAACAACAATTAGTAATAGTAAGCACTCCAATTCTAGTTTGGTTGATTAGTTTGTTTGAAGAAAAGAAATACCCAAAATCACACCTAAACATATATACCTGCCTGTGATTAACATTTCCAATCAAAGATTAGATTTAAGGATAAGTATTTTACTCAGAACTTGATCAAATATAAAATCAACATGTTTACCAACCCGGTCCAAAAGTGAACAAACGCTGGCAGCGGAAGGGAGGTGTGTAAAGTGTCTACTGAATTCATGGCATTATTATTTGGTTTCAAGGAAGTGTTTTAATAAAACAAGAATTGCATTGCCAAAAAAAAGTCTCATACTAACCTTCTGGCTATCAGACAAGGAATCAGATGACAAATATTGTTCACCAGTTATAAGGCCACTTAGCTCATAAATATTGTTAAAGGCAACACCAACATTTCTTGTATCATCAGCATAATACACATAAAGCTTCCCACTCATGGCACAAGTCTTAGCGTGTTCTATGAGAGCATCCCACATCTTATTTGACATACCACTGCCAAGGATCTACAGCCAACAGAGGAGTCAGCAGATAATTATAAAGAATGGATACTCTTATTCAACAACCAAGCATGCACTTACAGTCCGTATTTTTTGAGAGTCTCTGACAGCAAGTCGAAGAAAGTCTTCAACCGTGAATATTCCTGACTTATTTAGCCTCTTGTGGAATGACCCATCTTTGCCAATCTTCTCCAATCTCCAGACATCATCATTTAAAGCAGGTGGATAGTGCTTCTTGTATACTGTAAATGAAAAGAAGTCAACAACAATATTCCAAAAACAATCCAGAAAAAATAATTTTAAAAAGGAGTTCAAAAATAAACACTAAAGCTTACATTCCCCTCTGTGATCTTTAACAGTGAAAGCTTCTGTTTTTGCCTCACGTACACGTATGCCCTCACAAAAGTCTGAGGCGACCTTCAGGCCAAGCCTGAACTTCATGCTCCTTATCCAACTTGAGTTATCAGTAAATGTAAGCTCTCCCAGGGTTCCCACACCTTCTTTGAGCGTCACTTGCAGATCCCCAGTCAAAAGTGGTCTCTTTCCTTCATGCTCTTTCACAACATGGCTTTCAAATTCTTCTTCGGTCTAACCCTCATCATCTTCATTGTTGAAATCACCTTCCAGCACAACAACATCAAGTTTTATGGTGGATTCAAGTCCAGAGGTTATAACATGACCTGTATTCACATCAAGTAAAACAATATGGATTGCAGCACCCTGTTCCCCTTCTACTTTTCCTCCAGTGAAAAGGGGAAGAGACAACCTTGACCTGAAGTGCAGCTGCAAGTTTCGTCCATCTGGTCCCTCAATTCTTTTAGGAGAAGCCCTGTAATCTCAAGTGTAAGGATGAAGAAATAAGAAACACAGGCACAAAAATAAAACTAAATAGAGAGTTTACAGTAGTGCAAGGACAAGTGATAATCAATGAAGCAATAAATATGAGATAAACATAACATTCTAAAGAAGTAGCCAGTTCAATGTGTTTCTTGCAGTCCATAGGCTGAAAAAATTCAAAACAAAACAGATAAAGGTTTTCACTATCAGCTATAACCCCAGCGGCAACCTCCCAATGATTGCACTACAACTAAACAAAGCACCACCACTAAATAAGAAAGGGAATATTAATCTTAGGGGCTATGAAGCACGAACACGGACACTGAGACCGACACGGGATACGACAATTTCCAAAAAATGGGGACATGGACACGGCGGAGGACACGGCGAATTTTTTTTATTATATATATATATATGTTTTTATGTATTATGTAGATTCATATTACATTCATCCTAAATCAAAATTAACAAACACTAACATAGTAACATTAATTCAATAAATATAAACACTACATTTAAACAAATTAATAGAGCATCCATTCACAAAAAAGTCATAATAAACGATAACAAGAACTAAGACAAGAAGGGGGAAACATTCAACATCCAACAATATTCTTCACAAAAGCACTAAATAAAAGAGGAAAAAAAAAGAAGAAAAGAGTAAGCCCCACCGTGTCCCATGCTGTGTCCTAATATGGACATGCGTGTCCCCATCGTGTCCCCTACAAAAAAATTATTAAATGAAAGGGACACGTGTCCCCTGCATGTTATGGAAATAAATGTGTCGGCTTGTCCATGTCGTGTGTTTGTATTTGTGTTACTTAGGAACCAAGTTTTTTAAAGTAATGATATATACGTACGTGAAACGAAGAAACTAATTGATATGCATTTTTATTGGTAATTGATTAGTTTAGAAACTTCAAAAAAGGAAGAAAATATTCCTTAACAAGTTCTTTCTATTTCACTAGCACCACCCTCCTCCTCCCATGGTCACTACCTCTACCACCACTCTAAGGAGAATGACCACCAGAATTGTTTAAGAAAGTTGAGGAGTCATCCATGTTATGTAACGTGGGTGCATGAACAATTGCTTGCAACCCACGGGAAGTGAATTCGCGCGTTTCGCAATCTCACAAACAAGTCGAACCAATGCTCAAAAGTTTTCTAAGCAAACTAAAGATGGAATGCAGCAAGAAGACCCCATACTTTTTGGGTCATTCAGTTCAATTAATATGAATCATGTATAAGTCAGCATTTGTAGTGATTTCTATTTTGGTGTTACTTTACTAATTCTATGTAATAAAAGATCATTGAAGGTTTCGTTTAGTTCAAATAATGTAACAAGAATAAATGCATCAACTCTAAGGTTATAAACTTACCTCAGAGATGGAAGCTATGTTAAGGGATACAAGTGATGTACAGGTATCAGGAAAATGGCTAAGCCAATGCCCACTCAAATCATCCACTTCACACTCTTGCAAATCCAGCTCTCTTAGATTCCTGTGAAAGCGCACAGTGGGTCAAATTTGCAAAGTGGAGACACTATAATGACAGGGTTACAATAATCAAATTAACATGTTTTCCAATCAAAGTAATTAACCAAACAAGTTCTGAAGAAAAATGTAACATTTTTTTAATAGTATTAAAAATTTAGCAATTATTGTTGTGACTGCTAAGGAAAAACACTAGACAGTCCTTGTCAAGAATAACTTTTTCAGATAGCAGCAATTAAAGGAAAAGAAGTCATTTATTCTCCACTTGTTTGATATTTTCAATTAACCATTTTTCACAGAGACACAGTTTACACCCCACCTCACAATACAATATCCCAACATAGCATAGAACAACATAAAAGAGTTTCAGTTCTGCCCAAGGACCACAACTGAAACCCATGGTATGTTTTCACCCCGCCAACATTCACCCCGCCAGCATTCAGATATGTTTTCTGCATAAAAATTCTGTTTGTAGATATTATCCAAAATTTATACAAAATGATGTGGCATGTTGTGAGCCTATCACAAATGAATTTCCATTCTTAAAATTAGAGTGCTCTAAACAATTTTGTATAGAAATGTAGCTTTGAAGTCGAAAGTTCCATGTGCAATAGAAAATATGAACAAATTACAAAGACAACCCATGGTTGATCACTCAAGTAACAACTGAATGAGGAAATATAATCAGATAGATGCTGAATGCCCTATCAAAGAGCAGGTACAAAATTTAATTGCAAAATCAACTGATCAAATAAATTGGGAGTTTCAAGTACAAGGGCTACAACCTAAGGACCTTGTATTTAAGACTTTAATGACAAATAAAGACAAAACCCACCAATGATGACTAATTTAGAGATCACAGAATTTTAATTTTGCCACCTCTGCCCTCAACTCCATCAGCAATTAAATTCCCACTAACTGTGCTTGATCCTTGCATTGCCATAGATGATACAGCTGATCCTTTAGCCTGAGCCCGTTTGCACCATTTCCCCAAATAAAAAAATAAAAAAAATTGAATCTTCATCTACTATTATGTAATTTTCTCAAGCTTTCTAATGTTCATAACTAACCCTCAATTACTTATATGCATATACATATATGTTGGATTGAAATGTGTGTGTGTGTGTGTGTGTGTGTGTATGAGATAGAGAGAGAGAGAGAGGTTTACCTCAGTCGGTTTTCGTTTTGGGGCAAAACCCTAATAGCTCAATCGAAGGGACGGGTTGAATCGGCAAAGGTATCTGAGATGCCGCACCACCGCTGCTGCTGCTAGCTGTCGTCACTCACTGCTCACCGTCATCGCTCGCTGCTCGCCATCGTCCCCTCTTGCTGCTGCTGCTGCCACTGCCGCTGCTTGCAGACATGAGAGTGAAAGAGAGAGAGAGAGAGAGATGGTACAGTATTTTGGAGATTTTTGAAATTGGGGATTTTTTTTGTTTAGGGATTAGGGATTGGAGATTTGAGTTGGTGAGAAACAAAAGGGGGGGAAAGGAGGGGGGAAAGGAAGGGGGGAATTTGGATAGAAAGAGGGGGAAACGAAAAGAAAAGAAGAGGAGAGGCGATGTGAATGATGTGGTTTTATTTTTATTTTTTTTGTTAATTTTTTTTTGTAGTTAATAATTTTTTTTTATTTTTGATTTTTTTTAGTTATTAAGGTTGAAAATTTATTTATTTATTTATTTTATTTTAATGAAAAAAATTATTATTATTTTTATTTGGTAGAAGTTGGGGTAATATTTTAATAAAAAATATTTTCCATTAAAATAAAGTTAATTTTTTTTGGTCAATTAAAAATATTAAAATATTAATTTGGCAACTAACTTGTTTTTGGTCGGAAAAAATAAATATATGACGACTAATTTTTTTTTTGTCGTTGAAAATAAGTTTTTGGTGATCAAAATTTTGCTCGCCAAAGATAAAAATTATTTTTTATTTTTCATTCGGCGACTAAATAGTTTTGGTAGCCGAAACTCAATATACGGCGACTAAAATATTTTTCGTCGTTAAAATAAAAAATAATTTTTTATTTTCCATTCGGCGACTAAATAGTTTTAGTAGCCGAAACTCAATATACGGCGACTAAAATATTTTTAGTCGCTAAAAATAAGTTTTTTAGCGACCAAAATTTTGGTCGTCAAAAGATTAAAAAATAATTTTTTATTTTTCATTTGGCGACTACATTGTTTTAGTAGCCAAAACTCAATATATGGCGACTAAAATATTTTTTGTCGCTTAAAATAAGTTTTTTGGCGACCAAAATTTTGGTCGCCAATTTCACAACCAACTTATTTTTGATCTTCCGCGACCAACTTATTTTTTGGTCGCAAAAATGTGACCTTTTCGCGACCAAATTTGTAGTTGGTTGCTAAAACCATACCACTTTTTGCGACCAACTCATTTTTTGGTCGCCAAAATATAACCTTCTGCGACCAATAATATTTGGTCGCCAAAAATAATAATCATTCGCAACTAATTAATATTTGGTCGCCGAATGTCATTTTTTTGCGACCAAAATTTTTTTGGTCGGCAAATGTGTAAATTCTTGTAGTGATTAAATAGTTTTAACAGCGTACTGTAGTATGTCGTACAAAAAGTAATAATGACGTACAAAATCTGCCGTTAAATAGTTTTTAACGGCGTACTAAGCATGTCGTTGAAAATAAATGACTTTCCATGACTAGTCATAATATGACGCGCGCTGCACGTCATAGAAGGGTTTTTACGACGTGCATTGCGCACCGTAAAAACCCTTTCTTGTTATAGTGCTTATTTAAAATTCTCTTATGGCGCACCTATTATGTAATAATATCTTTCTTGTCACGCCCTCAAAATAATAACATTAAACTCATCCATATAGAGGCATGCATTGATACATAAAAGGTCCACATTCATCTATTCATCAGAGTATTTCATTACAAAAGTATTACATGTTCACAACAAAAGCAAATGCCCTACGGGCTTACAGCTTTCCAAGTTAACACTTGGTTACAAAAGAGAGTGCTAACTTAATTTACACATTAAGTCCTTGGCTTGAATCTATATGTAATACAATCAAGGAAAAATAAGATAACAAAAGTATGTCTGCCTCTAGTCTCCCAAGCTATGTCCTCAGGGGTGGCATGCTACCTGTACCTGAAAATGATGTTCCCATATAGGGTGAGCCACAGCCCAGTAGAAATATACTAAACCGACTATGAACAATGCCTAAAATATCAACAACTGACAGGTGGTCAATACTTACACTTCCATTTACATCTTATTACAATTCCATGACAGCCCAGTCTACGTCACAATTCAATTTCCATTTCCTATTCAACTTTGAGTTTGAAAACAAGACTCAGTACTCTGGCCAAACATTTGATGAGATTATAGTTCATGACTAGAACACCTTCGAAATTCGAGACAGATACACATTTTGGTGTTGTACCAATAACACATAGACCACTTCCATACTTTGCAAACGATGCTGATATACATTTTAGTGCTATATCAAATCAAACAAACATTTCAATAGATAAGCACATAAGCCATGTCACACTACCACAGATAAGCATATGAGCTATATCAACATTTCAACAGAAAAGCATATGAGCTATATCAACACTTCAATAGATAAGCATATGAGTTATATCAACACTTCAATGGGAGAGCATATGAGCTGCAACCCTGGGTCCATCCCCCATCTTCCCTTAACCATTAACCGGTTTAGAGGTACATCCCCCCATCCCCTATCTTCCCCTAAACCGTGGAGTACATCCCCTATCTCCTCCCCCACACACAATGTATATACACATAGGTCATATACACAATCAATCAATACATAACGTTAATGTATTCTATTAACCGTCATACTCTATGACATATCCAATTGATTAGTTTTAGTTTGCCTAATCATCATGCATTGTCTACAACAATCAAAACTACCCTCCACCGGTAGCCCAAACAATTATTTCTAAACAGATAATAAAAGGTCCAATAGATAAAACATTAATGTTTTTAAAAGTGAGCGATTAATAAATCCAACTCCACTATTCTACTATATAATGAGCCAATTTCATTATTTCCAACTCAATTCCATATAACCACAATTTTTCCAAATTAATCATACCAATTAATTTATACTACCAATTAGGGTTTTCTACCCCATTTCCCAATATTGACCCAATTGTCCAAATATCAACAACCAACAATGATATCATTATTTTGAAACCCACAATACACATTTTAGAATCAAAATAACAAAATTCTCTTTTAACATTTTGAAACCCTAAGTCCCAAAATTTGCCCAACTTCAACACTTTATCAAAACAACCAAAAATCTATGTCAAAGACCATAAGAGTGAGTAGGAATCCCTACCTCAAACGATGACACCCAAAGAAGAAGATGACGAAAATGAAGTTGCTCCAAATCACAAGTTTCTCGGATCAAAATGTAGCCCTCGACGATCAACCCAACTTTTACAAAGGCCAAAGGTAAGGAGAACACCCTAGCTAGATCAAACCCTAGAGAGAAGGGAGATTCTAGAGAGAGGAGCTCTCAAAAAAGGTTTTAGAAAAGTAAGAGAGAGAGTGTGGATGTAAAAAGTGATTTAAAATAGCCTAGCTGTCAACTGATATATGACTCTCCCGCTCGAGCGGAGAACACAACGCTCGAGCATCAAGGACAAAAAGCTAGGTATGCTCGAGCGCAAGAAGTCCCGCTCGAGCGCCAAGACACAAGAATAAAGTACATCCGCTCGAGCGCGAAAACCAGTCCACTCGAGCGTAGATTTCTCCCTCCCATAACTTACGCCAAAAAGTACCACCCGCTCGAGCGCTAACAAGTCTGCTCGAGCGCTACCTGCTCGAGCACAAGAAACCCGCTCGAGCGTAGAAAACACATCTGCAGAAGTTTTGCAGAGGCACGAAATACTGAAACTGTGAAAACCCCGCTCGAGCGCAAGAAGACCCGCTCGAGCGGACAGTTCAAAAACTGGTCAACAACAATGGGAGCTAAGGCTCTACCAACCTGAAACAACCGAGCCCAACACATTCTAAAACTCAAACTAAAGAGTTTAAAGGTTGACAACACGATAGGTACAACTACCAACTCCACGGAACCGCGTCCGGAAAACAACAGAATAGTAAAGGGATAACCGGGATCGCTATATTTCTGAATTTTGTAATATACGGTAGTGTTCTTAAATTGCTATTAAAAGAGTAATATAATGCTATGAAAAAGAAATGTTATGAACTAATAATTTTTTGTAGCATTTTCTATAAAATGCTATCAACATCTCCTTTTTATAGCACTTTTAAAAAAATGTTACAAAATATACTTTTTGTGGTAGCGACAACCAACACTTCAGACACCAATTCCCCTAAAAAGTATCTTCTACACCTCACATTTCTATTTTCATTCCAAAAATAAATCAAAAAATTAGAAAAATGAATCACAAAAGGACATTCACTTCAACTCAAATGGTAATAAATCAAATAAATATTACTTTCCACAACAAAAATAACTAATTGGTTCATAAGAAAACTCTTAGAACTTATTTGATATGACATACCAAAATGGGTAAATTTTATTTGTTCATAACATATTTCTGATTTGATATGACATTCCAAAATGGATCGATATGACATTCCAAAATGGATCAATTTTTCTTATTTATAATGTATTTTTGATTTTATATGACATTCCAAATACGTAAATTTTACCCGTTCATAATGCATTTTTTGTTTAAAAAATACACTATGTTCAATAACAAAGAATAATATTGTCTAGAAGAACCCTTCTATCATTGGTACATCATTTCACAAACAACAACCTTATACAAAACGCATCATTCCTCTCTCTGCTTTCATTGCAACAACTCTAAACCATTTTCAAAAACAATCTCCGAAAATGGCTATTAAACTTGAGAATGAGTATGAGCTAACATGGTTAAAGCATTTACGTTCACTATAGTCAACTCTCAATCGAAACATAACAAACATCATGCTTGGTTTTTGGTTGGTTCGGAAAAGCTTGATTGCGATAAAGAAAGTGCTCAGTATTCCTATATTGTTCGTGGTTAGAGCGTGTTTATCAGCGGCATACAATAAATGCACGTCGTAGTTTCTCACTTTTACGACTTGCTTTTTTTGCACGTCGTAAATATTTTTCCAACCACGGCGTGTCTATTGCGTAGGCCGTGAATGGTAGTAACGATGATTTTTTTACGGTTTGCAATGCACTCTGTAAATACCAAAAATTTCTACGACGTGCACATGTTATGCCATTAATACATTAATTATACATGACGCACATACGCCAGCCATGAAAAGTGAATACTTTTCACGATGCACACAATGCCCGCCGTTAAAAGTATTGCACTTCTTACGAATACACATCACCTGCCGTTAAAAGTATTGCCTTTTTACGACTCTCCTACAAAAATATTTAAAGATCACACTTTGATAAATAAAAATATCTCACTTTTATTAGAAATGTGATAAAAAAAATTAAAT